TGTCCCACAGCAGTGGAACCAGCGGCTGACACTCGGGACCTCAAAACGGCGGCTCCATCTACAGTGGGTGGAAGCCCCGGGGCTCCTTTGCCCTGGCCCACCACGGGGCAAAGCAGACTGAACCCCGGACCAGCTGACCACCTCTCCCCCACCACTGGGCGACTGCCTCCCTGGGAAGCGCTCAGGGTGTGGTGTTCGGTTCACTGACAGCACAGAGGCCAGAGAGGGCTGCTCCGTTCATGTGGCTTTTCTTTTTAATATTTTTATTGATCAGAGAGGAAGGGAGAGAAAGAGAGAGCTAGAAACATCAATGATGAGAGAGAATCATTGATCAGCTGCCTCCTGCACATCCCACACTGGGAATCGAGCCCACAACCCAGGCATGTGCCCTTGGCCGGAATCGAACTTGGGACCCTTCAGTCTGCAGGCCGACGCTCTATCCACTGAGCCAAACCAGCCAGGGCTGTTCAGGTGTTTGACAGGAAGGTGGGCGGTGCCCGATAGCGCACACCCAGGCAGCGTTTCCGCTGCTTCTTGCTGTCCTGCCCTCCGTTTGCAGTCATGCGGGGCAGTGCGTGTTCAGGTGTTTATATGGCCCCACTACGTGACCTAAAACACAGACACACTAACACAGCACTGAAGGGAAGTACACCCTAATGGTTGCCCGGTGTATTTCCGGTGACTAGAAAGTATTAGGAGAGATTTTCTTTCTAACTTTTTCTATGTCTTGGTTGCTAGACAGCATATACTGTTTTTGTCGTAGAAATGAAATCAAATAGCGTTTCCTGTTGGAGTCTCCCAGGACCCCAGGACACCAGCCCCGCTAGTCTCCCCTCAGAGGTGGCGCCTCTCCACTCGCATGGAAGGTCTGTGGCTGCACCCCGCAGGCTCTGGAGCCCTGGGGTCCAGCTACCTGTGTGGGCAGTGACTGGTCCCGTGGATAAATGGCTCCAGCCGCCACCCCTCCCTCCCTCTCTGCTGGACCTCATTGCTCACATGCATTTCACCCGGCCGGGCCTCAAGCCCCCGCTGCTCACCACCCTCGCTCTGTCTGCAGGTCTAGCCGCCCTTGCCTTGCCCACCGCCAGCCATCGCCAGGCCCACCACCCACCGAGTGCCCCACTTTGGAATTCGGATTGCGAGTCTGCCCTGTGCCTGTCCTGTGCCCCAGAGTAAATGTCCCTCAGGAGTGACCGAGCTGGAGTTGATTCCTGATTCGTCCCCTTCTGCCCCTCCAGGCACAGCAGGAGGGGGAGCAGAGCAGGTGGCAGCCCCACGGGAAAGGGACAGGGACACGGAGATTGGGGCTGACAGTGGCTCTGTCCCTGACCCTCGGAGCAGGAGGAAGCCATCAAGCCAGGACACAGGCGAAGGCACTGCCGAGACCTGGCAGAGGGCCCCGTCCCGCTCCCGCCCTGGCCTCCCGGCCCCAGCCTCACATCACCTGGATCACACTGGGAAGAAGTAGTTGCTGCCTGCTCTGCCCAGATCCTGCCCCAGCAGCCGAGCAGCCGGACTCAGCTTCCCCGCCCTGGGGAACAGCAGCGGGACCACCCCCTCTGCTAAGGGGAGTCTCAGTTATTATGGCAGATCGGCCTGTGGAGGCCCCAGGGACCGCCCCGTCCTGCCGCCCCGTGTCTGGCATCCCCTCCCTGGGTTCAGTCACAGAGCTCTTTCCCACCTGAGTGAAATGGGGGTGGCCACTCTGTCTTGCAGGGTCTGCTAAGCTCGTCCAGGCTCCTGCCCTGATGGGAGCCCTGGGTGCTTCCCAGCACTAAAGTGGGGACAAAGCCCAGCCCCTTGCCGATGTCGTGAGGGCTCCATGACCCATGGCCAGGCAGCTGCTCCCCCATGGATGTGGGGCTGAGCACATGCGCCCGGGTCGGGGCGGAACCAGGTCAGCACAGAACAGGACTCTCGGGACACGTGCAGCCTGTGCCCAGGTGGCGGGCAGTGCAGCAGCCCACCGACTGGCAGAAAGCCCTCTGAGTCTCACTCTCCTCACTGTGCAACGGGCTGCCATCAACCACCTCGGGTTTGGGGGGGATGACGGGAGATGAAGCTCCCGGGCCCCCGTGAGCTCCTTGCACAGCGCGGGGCAGGCCAGGTGCCCGCAGCCCACCGACTGGCAGAAAGCCCTCTGGTGGCTGCGGGGAGCAGAGGGCAGGTGGGTTCATGGCCAGTGCGCCCTCGGCCGCCAAGGCGCCCAGACTGGTCCCACCGCACGTTCACCGGCTGCTCGTTTCTATGATTGCTCATTCAGCCCCCAAACACAAGCAACCCGTCTCCGCCTCTGCCCTGTGCGATGGCGGCGTCTGTGCCTCGGAGGGCGTCTTACCTGCCTCCTGAGCAGCGAGGAGGAAGAGGAGGCAGCAGCCGAGGCCGAAGCCGGAGCGGAGGCCGAAGCCGGAGCGGACACAGTGGGCCCGGCCGGCCATGTCGCAGAGGGTGGGCTGCTTGAGGCTGAGGGCTGGGATCCCCTCACCTTATACGGGGCCAGTTTGACGTCATGGGGGCAGGGGCCCCTCAGGCCTAAACCTTAAACAAACGGAGCCGCCCCACCCCACAGGGCTGCCTGATAAGGAGACCGCAGCTGCTGGTGAGGGAGCCAGGAGCCTGGGCGCCTGCCCTGGGCCTGGATCTGGGGAAGGAAAAGGAACTGGGAGGGAGATGGCTGGTCTTGCCCCCTGCAGGGATCTGGGTGGGGGGCGGGGGGGGGAGCAGGTGGCAGGGTCCAGGACTGGGTTCTGGCTGGGACGGGGAGGGGGAGCCGGGTGCCCTGTTCAGAGGAGATTCAAATTCTGGTTCTTCGCCACCTTTGCCTTCTGTCCCCGGCGGGCGCCAGCCCAGCTCCCCACGCCCCTTGCTCACACAGGGCCACTCTCAGCCTGGGTGGAGCTGCCGAGCGAGCGGTCAGGGAAGGAGCAAAGGCGGGCGCCCCGCACAGGCCAGTGTGAGGCAGGTGCCTGCAGGTGCCCTGAGAGGACAGCATGTGGAGACAGCGGGGCAGCGACAGGGAAGAGCAGACAGACTGGGACCAGGACAGGGTCAGGCCACCCAGAGGCCCCTCTCCCACCTCATCCCCCCACAGAAATGCAGACCCTCAGGCGAGGGCCCCCCAGGGCCCCCCTCTCTCCCTCCTGGTCCCGTGCCTGAAGCAAGCGTTAGCTCAGAGACTGTCCAAACTCATCCACCGGCCCCCACGTGGCCGGGCCCGGGGCTGGGGCGGGGCTGGAAGAGAGGCGCAGCGGAGTCCGGGATCTCAGCCCCGCTCCCATCGCCGCTCCCTGTGCTCCCTGTGGCTCCTCTCATGGAGGCAGCACCAGCTTGCCCAGTGCCAGGCACGGTGCCTGGCTCACAGCAGACAATCAGTAAGTGTTCAGTGGGCCGAACGGAGCGGAAGCCGGGGCTGGGCACTGCCCTTTTTGGGAAGGAGCACAGGCACACGGAGCCGAGAGGACCAGGCCCGAGAGGGCAAGAGGCAGGGCCTGGCAGCACGGCTCACGGGGCCCGAGGGTCGACCATGTGAATTCCTCCCATTACGTGGCGTGACTAGTCCCTAAGCCCTGGGCAGGGCTGGAATGGGTGGGAAGAGGAGAGGAGGCCAATTGCTCATTAATGTGATTAGTGGGAGATTAATGAGGCTCCATGGCATCCGGCCAAGACTGACTCCTCAGAACGGGCCATGCCCGCAGCAGGAGGGGGGCCTGGGGCAGACACAGGGCCCTGGGCTCCGCTGCCCTGCACCAGCCCTCCCCAGGGGCCCAGGAGGGCAGCTTGCCCCCCCCCCAGGGACATTAGGCAGCCTCGTCATGCCTGCAGGGGCTGCTGCAGGCCGCGAGTGGGCAGTCAGATGCTGCTAAACATCCCATAATGCGCCCCCATCTCCACACCAAAGAACTCTCCAGTCCCCACGTCAGCAGTGCCAGGGGGGTCTCATTGTGTAAATAAACGTCCCCCCCTCTTTTTAACCACAATCTCCCCGAGGACCCAGGCACTGGGGCAGAGGAGCCAGGACGGAGGGGCTGTGTCTGAGCCACAGGCTGAGGCGCTGACCCAAGACAGCCCTGCCAGCCCTGAGCGCTCCGTGCACCAAGTTAGGCGCTGAGCTCCGAGGTCAGCAATGTCAGCCCATTTTACAGATGAAACACCCTCCGACTTGCCAAAGGTCACTCAGCTGGTCAGCGCCAGAGGCCAGACGTGGCTGGTACCTGCCTGGCGGCAAAGCCACGTACTCGGACCGCTGGAGGGACGCCGCTTCCCTCAGCAGGAATGTGTCCAGCACCCACCCCACTCGTCCAGGAGTCACCACAGGCGGGATCCTCACTGCCCAGAGATGAGAATCGGGGTCTTGGGACAGCCAGGAGCCAGGCCCAGGGGCTCCATATGGAAGGAAATGTGAAGGGAACCCCCTCGTGTGTCTTGGGGACCCAAGTGAGGTGCCCTCAGCTGCAGCAGCTCTGGTAGTTGGGGGAGAGGGTGGGCTGGGGAGAAAGGTGCGCAATGACTCAGCGAGACTGTCTCGCGCTGGTCCTTCCCTCCAGGGGAGAGCCCTGCGTCGCAGGCGGGCGGGTCAGTTGGGGACCTGGGAGTCCGCCCGCAGGAACAGGCCCACTTAGCGTGCATGGAAGCGAGGTACTGTTTAAAAATATTTTCTCAATTATCCCCCAAATGTCTTTTTTATTGAGAATACATAGGTTTATGACATTATATTCGTTTCAGTGGTACAGCATCACAATCCCACTTCCGCTAATGCTGCATCACGCTCCACCAGAAGTCGTTTCCATCCTCCACCCGAGCGACCCCTTTCCCGGGGACCCTCCCCTCTGGGAACCGCCAACCTGTGGTCTGCCCCAGGAGGCTGTTTCTGTCTTATCTGTTTGTTCACTGGTTTTGGTTTGTTTTCTCTATGAGTCTGTCTCGGAGAGGAAGAAGGAAGGCCAAGGGGAGGGCTGCTTGCTATCCCAGCCCCCTCCCTTCACTTGACCGAGAAGCGCTGGCCGGTGACCTCGCGGTGGCAGCCACACCCCACACTCATCTCCTTCCGGAACTGGCAGGCCTGTGAGGTGAGGCGATAGGGTGGGTTAGCCGAGGGCCCAGGAGCGTGACTGCTGCCCCCCTCCACAGCTCTGGCCCTCAGGGCTCCCCTTCCAGCAGCAATAGGAATGCTAACGAAGCAGAAGCAGGCGCGTGGAGCCCACTTGTGCCCAGCACCTAGAGCTTTTTGTGCGTGAGCCATGTCATCCTGCACAGCCCTTTGCTGTAGCCCTTAAGTATTACTCAGTAGTAATGTGAACCTGGAGCACAGAGAGGTTAAGTAACTTGCACAAGGTCACCCAGCTATAAGGTCAGAGCAGGATTCAAACTGTGGTTCCACACAGCTGATTCTTCATGGCCAAGAGCTGAGTTCAGCGCCTTTGTGAGCGGGTCAGCCTCTAGCACTCCCCGCCTCCTGTCAGTGGTCCCCAGCCCCTGCCTGCCTGGCCAGTGTTTCCTCCCAGCCACCAGCCGGGCTTTCTTTCCTCCTTGCTCTGCCCTCTTCCTTGCTCCTCCCTCCTCCCTCCCTGCTCCTTGCTCCTCCCTCCTCCCTCCTCCCTCTTCGGTCCTCCCTCCTTACTCCTCCCTGCATGCGGCCGCTGTCACCCTTCTCTCCGAAGCCCTTGCTCTTGTCAGGGTCCTGGGCACCAGGTCCAGTCCCGCTGCATTCGGACCACGGTGTCACTCACCTTCTTGATACCGTACAGTGCGCTGACGATCGCTGCCACCACGGTGACGGTGATCAGCACGATGGCCCAGTCTGGAAGCCCGGGGCCTGAGGAGCAGAGCGGGTCAGTGACCGAGGCAGGTGGGCCTCACGCCCCGCCTCCCACTGCGACCCTAAGACCACATTTCTCAGTGGAGTTCGCTCCTATCCTCTTGGGAACAGAACCTGGGTAGGGGGTGGTGGGGAGGGCCTTGATCCAAGCTCTGGTAGAAATAGGTGGATGGTCACCTGACCTTTGATAGAGGCACCCACACAGCACAGTGGTGGGGCGGCCGAGGGTCTGGGAAATCAATGGTTTTGGGGCAACAGGCTACCAGTGAGGGGAAAACTTGAACTTGACCCCCTCCGTATCCAGGAATTAATCCGAGATGGCTCATAGGCTTAAATTTGAAAACTAATAATAAAGCTTCTGGAAGAACGTGGTCAAGAATATTTTCATGACCTTGAAGTAGGCAAGAGGATGTTAGGCAGCTACAAAAGGCACCAACCACAAGGAAAAGATTAAGAAACTGAAAAGCAAAGAAGGCTCCACTTCATGAGATTCTGGGAACTGCCGTTTATACGGCTGCACACGGGAAGCCCCCACCCAGAGCTCCAGGCCAAGATGGATTGAGCAGCAGAAATATCACCTGGCGACGCTGAGCCAGGGCCTGAAGCGCTTCCGGACACGGTCGGGGCGGAAGTCGAAGGGCGACTGGGGAGATTCTCAGAGGTTGGAGACACGGAGACAGTGGAGACAGTCGCAGACACACCCCCAGGGACAGTGGGCAGGCCCCCAGGGACAGTGGGCAGGCCCCCAGGGACAGTGGGGAGATCCCCAGGGACAGTGGGGAGGCCCTCTGGGAGAGTAGGGAGACCCCCAGAGATAGAAGGGAGGCCTCCAGAGGCAGAGGGGAGACCCCCAGAGGCAGAGGGGAGGCCCCCTGGGATGTCCCCGGAGAGAGAGAGACTGTCAGAGACAGTGCGGATGCCTCCAGATGTTGTCCTCCATGGGTTCAGCTGAGCTGTTGGAAAGAACAACAGCATCGGTGAGAAGAGGAGACCACGTCCCTGGGTCTTCAGCCCAACACCCAGCACCACTTTCCAGCCTGCTCACCAAGTGTGGCGAAGGCCTGCAGGCCCAGGAGCAGCACCCGCGTGGCGTCCATGGTGCCAGCCCGATGCCTTTGCAGGCCCACGGCCCTGGCTTTTAAAGGTTCTGGGACCTATTCGTGCTTCTGGAGAGCCAGGTGTGCCAGGACCTCCATCAACACCAGGATCTCCGTCCCCAGGGAGAGGTCACCAAGCTGTCCCCAGAGGATTAGCCCATCCCAGCCTGATCCCAGGAAGCACTGGGCGAGGGGGAGCGTGAGTAAGAGCCTGAGGACTCCCCTACCTGGCCCTCGGGCTCTTCCCAGACCAGGGACCTAGCCCCCAGCCTGAGTCAGCCTCCCACCCAGACCCTCCTGGAAGGGAGGGGCCGGTGTCCTGCCCCCAGGGCCTCCGCTTGCAGCTGGAAGTACAACTATTGGGGTGAGGATACACGGGTCTCTGGGAGAAGCAGGAATTGGGAGCTGGGTGGGGGTGAAGGACGTCCCAGCCTGGGGATCGCGTCTGACCCTCAGGAGACCCAGGGCAGGACGGGTGGACACCTGAGTCCTCCCGCATCCGACGGCTGCAGCCCAGAGCGCCTGTTCCTCTGGTGGAGAGGAGCAGCAGGGAGGACGCCACCGTGTTGAGGGCGAGTGCACTGCGGAGGTTCAGGGCCCAGCTCCGGGCTGACTGCCCCGAACCCATGGCCTCCCAGCTGTGCGCTCGGGCAAGTCACAGATGTATCTTCACTCCTCAAAGGAGGTGCTCTAGCCCCAGTTTAAAGGGCCCTGAAGAACGTTACAGGGAACGTGTCGAGCCCGGCACAGCGTCCGACACAGATGCTCCCGCTCCTCTGAGGAAGCTCGGCCGCCCCAAGCGTCTCTCCAGGCGCCGGCCGCGGCCGCTGCACCTGCTGCCCTTCCTGCATGTCTTCTTCTAGCGCACGTCTGGGGTCCCGCTGATGTGTGGCAGCGTCCCCTCCGTCTGCTCCAGTCTCCCGTGCTGGGCCCTCTGGTTTTTGGGGGCGGGTTGGCGGGGGGTGAGAGGTTACATACAGAGGCAAACAGGAAGACGAAGAGGCTTCGTGACTGGTGTGTCAATCCTGTCCGTCATAATGAGGGATGAGTTCGAAGCCCTCTGCTGCTGTCTTGCTGTGTGACCTGAGTAAGTTATTCACCCCCTCTGGGCCTGATTTCCTGGTTGTTGTTCTTTTTCCTGGTTTTTAAAGAAAGATGGTGAATTGGATGGGCTCTGAACCTCCCTCTACACATCTGCGCTGGGTCTGCCATGCTGAGCGCCTGTGCTGGGAGGATGAGGGGGCCCTTTTGCCTGAACCGCAGGGGGAGGGGTTTGATGAACCCAGGCCTCCACCTGAGTATCTGGGATGTTTGGAGCCACTGAAATCACTCAACGAGGAAGCTCCCATTGCCTAGACTTCTCACCTAGAAAGTCGCTGCGCCTGGCGGAGTGGGACACCTGGTTTGGGAAGAAACATGGCTAATCCACCCCTCCCTTTTGGGCCCACATTCCTGAGCCCTTTGTGGCATGAATGATGGAAATTAATTGTAGTTAATAATTAATCCCTAAGAGCGATGAGAGGCCCAGGCCTGGGTGAACCCAGACAACCTGCAGGACCGGCATCCATGAAGGAGGGTGAGGAGGGACCAGCCACTCTTCCCCAGCAGCCCAGCGAATGGCTCTCTCCTGGGTCCTCAAAACCATGTTGGGAGAACTGGAAAATCCAGTCACCCACCTTTCCCCTCTGGTCCCCTCCCCCCCACACATACACCCCAGCACCTGTGCTGATGATTGGCTGTAGGAGAGGTCAGCGGGCTCAGGCGCCTCTGCTATCCGTCTGAGGAGCGCCGTGGCCACCATGGGGGCCAGACTGCCCCTCTTCCTCCTCCTGACCCTCCTGGGCAGCTCACAAGGAGCAGGTGAGGCCGCAGGGCTGGACGCAGGGGCCGTGTGGCAGGAGGTCGAGAAGGGGAGCTGGAGAGACAGAGGCACCGGGTCCTGAGCCCGAGTTCAGGGCGAACCGCTGCCGGAGGGGCTGGAGGGCCTGGTGCGGAGGGAGAGGGAGCAGGGGTGCCCGCACCTCGGCCCTGGTGGCTGGGTTCTAAGCTGTACTCCTGGGTCCCCAGGGCCGGGGATGACCCTGCAGCTGAAGCTGAAGGATTCCTTTCTGGCAAATTCGTCCTATGGCTCCAGCTTCCTGGAACTGCTCCAGAAGGTAGCTCTTGGGGAGGGAGAGGGGGGGCTGTGGGAACTCCAGTGTGTTTCTGAGTGGGTTTGGGGCTCTCTGCTGGCTCCTGTGTGAGAGCCATTAACCCTTCTCTCCGCAGCTCTGCCTCCTGCTCCACCTCCCGCCAGGGACCCGGGTAACCCCCCGTCGGGCAGGATCCCCACACCACGTCACCTGCACAGGCTGAGAGCAGTGGGAGCTGCCCTGGGGGGCAGGGGGTGGCCCCAGCTTCAGCAGAAAGTCGCTGAAGGCAGTAAATATGCTGAATCCCTGGCTGAGGGCGGCTGTGGGTTCTGAGTAGAGGGCGGCTGTGGGGCGGCTGTGGGTTCCGAGTAGAGGGCGGCTGTGGGGCGGCTGTGGGTTCCGAGGAGAGGGCGGCAGGAAGAGGACTCAGGCCCTGGGAGGCAGAGGGTCCGGGGAGGACACCCTCTCCCTCAGTGCCCTGTCCACACTGGCCCGGTTCCTTAGCTCCTCTCCCAGAGGGTGGACTTCCCAGAGCGGGAAGTTGGGTGAAAGGCCTGACACCCAGCCTCGGATCACCTTCTGCTCACAGGCTGCCTCCTACCCAGTGGGGAGGGCGGCGAGCGGGGGGCCGCCAGCCCTCCTTTAAGACAGCCGTGGGGTCCATCCGCCTCGGGACTCCCCATCATCCCCACCATGGGGCAGCTCACACGGGAGTGGCCTGCGACCCAGACAGCCCTGCCTGTGGGCTTGCGATCGGGACAGAGCTGTGCTCAGCCCCTGAAAGCCCTCTCCATTAGGGAGCACTGTCCTGCCCCTCAGAGTCACCGACTGGTGGCCGGGCCCTGAGAGCCAGCTTTCTGCGTCCTTCCCGGGGACCGCCCTTCCTTGAGGACAGGGACCTTCTTGCTGCCACCCAGAGTCTGGACCACAGGGAGGTGGGGCGTTGGCGTCCTCTTGGGACCCTCCTCCGCATTCACGGGCCCCACCAGCCTACCCACTGGACCACTCTCAGCTGCTGACCTGGCGCCAAGCCCTTGATCACCTGACCCATTCCGGGTGTTCACCTGGGCCCAGCCCACACCCTTGGTCCCGGGTCCTGTCACCACTTCCGGCTGTCCACCTGGCCACGCCCCCTGATGACGTAACCACTTCCAGTTGGTCACGGGGCCCCACCACCCCTCGCTCACCTGACCACTTCCTGCTGTCCACCTGGCCCGCCCCGCTTGATGACGTAACCACTCCCATCTGGTCACCGGGCCCCACCTTCCTAGCTCATCTGACCACTTCCGGGTGTTCACCTGGGTCCATCCCACCCCCTCAGTGCCTGGTTATGTCATCACTTCCCGTTTTCCACATGGCCTCGCTCCCCTGACGATGTAACAACTTCCACCTGGTCACCGGGCCCCCCCCCCCCCCCATCGCTCACCTGACCACTTCCGGCTGTCCACCTGGCTCCGCCCCCTTGATGAAGTAACCACTTCTCGCTCGTCACCAGGCCCCACGCCCCCTCATTCAACTGACCACTCTGGGTGTTCACCTGGGCCCAACCCACCCCTTCGGTCTCGGGTCATGTCACCACTTCTGGAAGTCCTCCTAATTCCGCCCCCTTGATGACGTAACCACTTCCAGCTGGTCACCGGGCCCCACCCCCCTCGCACACCTGACCACTTCCGGCTGTCCACCTGTCTCCGCCCCCGTAAAGATGTAACCACTTCCAGCTGGTCACCGGGCCCCAACCGCCATCACTCACCTGACCACTTCCGGGTATTCACCTGGGTCCGGCACAACCACTCGGTACCGGGTCATGTCACCACTTCTGGCTGTCCACCTGGCCCTGCCCCCTTAATGATGTAACCAGTTCCAGCTGGTCACCGGGCACCACCCCCCCCCCTCGCTCACCTGACCACTTACAGGTGTTCCCAGGCCCTGGTTCACCTGACCAGTTCAGGCTGGTCACCTGGGCCCTCCCCCTTGTTTTCGAGACACCGCCCCTTGTTCACCTGACCACTGAGCCACACTGGCCGGGCCCATTAGCTCCTCACCCAGATGGCTGGATTTCCTGATCGCTGGAAATTGGGTGAAAGGCCTAATACCCAGCCTCGGATCACCTTCTGCTCACAGGCTGCCTCCTACCCAGTGGGGAGGGCGGCGAGCGGGGGGCCGCCAGCCCTCCTTTAAGACAGCCGTGGGGTCCATCCGCCTCGGGACTCCCCATCATCCCCACCATGGGGCAGCTCACACGGGAGTGGCCTGCGACCCAGACAGCCCTGCCTGTGGGCTTGCGATCGGGACAGAGCTGTGCTCAGCCCCTGAAAGCCCTCTCCATTAGGGAGCACTGTCCTGCCCCTCAGAGTCACCGACTGGTGGCCGGGCCCTGAGAGCCAGCTTTCTGCGTCCTTCCCGGGGACCGCCCTTCCTTGAGGACAGGGACCTTCTTGCTGCCACCCAGAGTCTGGACCACAGGGAGGTGGGGCGTTGGCGTCCTCTTGGGACCCTCCTCCGCATTCACGGGCCCCACCAGCCTATCCACCTGACCACCTTCGCTGTTCACCTGGCCCTCACTCACTTGACCACTTCTAGTGTTGACCTGAGCCCTCCCCCTGGTTCCCGAGACCCTGCCCCCTTGTTCACCTGACCACTGACCACACTGGTCATGCTGCTCTGCTCCTCACGCAGAGGGGTGGACTGCCCAATCTCTGGAAGTTGACTTAAGTGCCTAACACCCACAGCCCGGGATCACCTTCTGCTCACAGGCTGCCTCCTACCCCGCGGGCAGGGCAGGCCGATGATGACTGCCAGGCCCAATTCTTTTCCATCCTTTTTCTGACACCTAAAGTTTCAGCTACAGCATCTGAGGATCAAACACATGTCAATGACCATCTTATCAGCTGTTCTCAAAGCGAGCGCTGTGTCTCCTGACTGCCCTCCCTCTCTCAGGGCCCTCCTCCGCACCCCACATCCGGTTAAACAATTCTAGCACATTCCATTCCTCCCAAGGAAGGTACCCAGTACATATTATCCCGAGACCACGAGGCACCTGGCAGTTTCTGATCTTGAGTATTTCCTTCTTTAAGCTTCTATCCTTGTCACAGCCCAACAGAACCTAATGTCCACTCTTAAGACAGCTACTGAATATGCCAGAGGTGAGTCCTAGTGATCAAAGTGGGGACAGCAATGCCTGCCTCCGTGGGAGAGCTTACCTGAGCCAGCGTGGCCCGAGTCTCTCTCTGCGCCTGGAAGATGATCCAAATGCTTCCTTTCTCCTTCTTGTCTTCTTGCTCTTGTGTGGGGGGCGGGGGGGGAGAGAGAGAGAGAGAGAGAGAGAGATGTTAACCTGTCAACAGGCCCTGCCACTTACATGGGATGCAGAGGTGGCCCCGTGCATTTGGGGACAGACCTGTGAGGCAAACAGATACACACAAATGCAAAGGGAAACTCATTCCAGCCACGAGAGCAGCCTGCCTTGTCCTTCACTGGTCAAGCAAGGACTGCCAGGCACCCGGACTCACCAATAACGTAAAGAAAAAAGTAACAGAACGACCACCTCGGGAGGAAGCGGAGCTGTAGGATAAAGACGAAGAAAATGCTTCTAACATTGTAATTAGCATCATCAGAGAGATTTCAAAGTCAGTTTCATTCGAAGACTATTTTCATTAAAAAAAATTAATATTGCATTGATCAACATCACAAATGCGGAACCATGATTTCAGTTCTGCTTAAAAATCTCATTATTCTCATTATAAATGTACCAAATTTCAAGAAATCATTCTAAGGAGGCTTTTATCACTTCACAAAACTCCCTTTCATATTTGAAATTGTTGCATTAATAAATTTATCATACTTGATTTCCTTCATAAGGATTGAAATATTTTTCTGACTCAAAAAACCTTCCAATTACTTAAGTAACTCCTTATTTACCCAAGTGGATAAATCTAACCAATTCAACTTACAAGTAAATCCTAAATATTCCAATATTGTTTCTAAACAATAAACGTTCAGTTTAAAATCACAAATCTAAATCAATTCTTCAACCGTAATTTTTAAAAATGAATCCACTAAAAAAAACAACAAAAAAAACAAAGAAAGTCTCCAAGGTAGAGCTGCCTGAACCTGAGCCTTGGCCTCTCACCTTCCTCCCCAAACAACATGAGCTTCAGCACCCACTCCAGCTTCTCCAGCACCCAACTCCCGGGCCTGGGCTCCCCGCAGTCACACAGCCACCGGCCCGGCCCTGATGGCCAGCAGCGTGGCCAACATCTAGGCAGGCACCAGGGACTCGGGCTCCCGGGTCTCCGTGTCCCACTCCAGGGCAGCTGGGGGTCCAGGGCCTTGGCTGTGGGGTGGTCTGGGGTCTAGCAGGCATCAGGGCATCTGGAGCAAGAAGGAGGCGAGGCAAAGCCTGAACGACTACCTGGCCTCCTGCCTGGAGAGGGTGCGGAGCCTGGAGGCTGGTGATGAGAGACTGGAGAGCAAAACCCGGACACCTGGATGAGACGGGACCCTGAATGAGACGGGGCCTGGATGAGACGGGACCCTGGATGAGACGGGACCCTGGATGGAACCGGCCCTGGA